CTAAATCTCTTCCAAGGACATTCACACCAATGCCACAGGTCCTGAAGTTCTCTGCTGAGCAGCTAAGGCTGAATTAAGCACCTCGTGTCTTTGCATATGGCCTGGTCTGATCCCTCCAAGAAAATGATGCTCTGATGGAATTTCTTGATAAATATACTTGGCTTTGATAAATTAATTGGTACCGGGTGACACTTAATCAAGGAGGACACAAATAATAATGTCAGATAAACAGCAGGACATTTACCAGAAGGGCCTGGTCAGCTGTAGATAATCCATGCAGTCAGAAATCTCAAAATGTCATGGCTGCACTGACTCTTTCCTGGATGGAAAGGGACTGAAGGAGGACACACCAGAAGTAAAGGAGAAAATCATCTGGATATGGAGCAACAATGGATTAATGCTGTGATTCAAGATGGTGAGTAACTGCATTAAGAACACAGAGCTCCAGAGCTTCAGAAAATACAAATGGATTGACTTTAAGCACTGGAACTGTTTGAGCAGTGATTATATAACTGATACAAAAGCAGCTAAAAATAAAGAATACCACAGGTCAGACTACTCAGGTTTGCTTTCAACATGCACACACAGGTACAAGGTTGTATTTGTGGAGATGAAACTACACCACAGACTTTATTTCTTTCCACAAAGCCACATTGATTATACATACAGATGCATTTAAAATGAAATGTGTTTGAGGCTCCTTCTCACTTTGGAACAGATACAAGGGAGATGCACTCAACAGCACTCCAAGCTGCCTGAGCCCTCCCTCTACACCAACATCAGCACATCAAAGAGACAAAAGCAGCTTGCAACATGAGAGTTATTCTTCTGTAAACTAGACCCTAAGTTCTCTCCATCAAGGATGGTTCCTCTGTTCCTTTTCTCATAACAGAAATCTTGGAAAGTTTTTGAGCTCTTTTGAGAGACGTGCATGATGTGTCAGTCTAAGCATGTAAACACTGAAATCAAGAAACTGCAGTAAGTTTCCCCAAAGTTTGATAAAAAGGAAGAAAAAAGGGCAGGACAGGGTGGGAGGGAGGATGGTAACAACCACTGAGAAGCCACATTCACTGAAGAGTTAAGATTTACTGCCCTCTGTTTTACACCAGTGTGGGTAAAATCACTTTTAAGGGCCCTAATGAAAGTTGAAAGTTACCTTCAGAAAGTTATGCATATTTCAACAGAAATAAAAATCATTATGCATTCTCTCTAAAGAGGATACAATCTCAAACTGTCAAAATTCTAAACTCTTCTACATATATTACATACAAATGCCTTCTATAAAGAAACCTCTTTTCATTTTTCTTCTAAATTAGCTTAGTGGTCCATGGTATTACACTACCTTGGTCTAGCCTGTGAATAATGTGACAGGTAATTTTTATACTTCTTGCCTGTACTTAAGTTTGAGTGAAGATACGGAAAACAACTTTTATGATCTAGGTGTAAAAGTAAATGTTCTGTGAGTCCTGCATACCCAAACGTGGACATCTACTATGAAATGTTGCATGATGATTATGTGTCCATCAATAAATATTTTAAAAAAAGAGAAAAGGAGCAAGTTGGTAGTTATTTTTTAATAATGTGCATGTGCAGCAGTTTTTTTCCCCAAACAAAGTAATAATGCTAATGTGTATGTAAACTACTACATTATCACGGAGGGGATTTAAGATTCTGTTTTATCAGACAGGAATCATTCTGTAACAGGATGCACTAAGGATGAATAATATGCAGATAACATAGGAAATCATCCAACTATAATTTTAAAAAATGGATTCCTCCTGAAACTGTAGACTGCAATGCCACAGAAATGGATGGTAATAGCCAATTAATTTCCATCTTGAAAAAAGCTCTAAATACACCTGTATCAGCTGAAGTTTGTAAGTGATGGAACTCAAAATGCTGAACAGTTCAATGATGTTTGAGTTACAGTGCTGGAGAAAAAGTCATATCTGTGACTGAAACTATGGAAAACCCAGTTTATATTTTCTCTACTACCCAAACATTAGGCAGCCACAGCAAGGCTCTTTTTCTCAGTCTCTGTGATTACTTGTGCTCCAGGACTTCAGCAGCTGTGCTATAAACTGTGCTAGGAAAGAAAAAATCAAAATAAATTAACTTGTAACTAGGGGGTTGGAGCTTTTCCCTTCGGGGAAGAAGCCCAGTACTACCCAAACACAGATCTTTTAAAAACTACATTTCCCTGTCCCCTTTCATGAAATAAAAAAGTCCATCAGAATGTTGAGTCTAGCACAGCAAAGTACACTTTAAGGTGCTCCATCAAGAGGAAAACGAAAATGGAAAATTACCAAGATGATGCTCATACAAAAAGAAAAACAATGCAAATCTTAAGGAACTAAGGGAGAGAAGTCTGAGAAACAAGGTGAGCTCTAAGTGATAGGGCAGGCACACAATCCATTTACATCCATTCAAAAATGAGAACCACCATGAATCCAAACAGAAACTGAATGCACATCCCTGAGGTCATACACCACCATATCCAGTGTTTTTAGAGTTATTAATAATTTACAATCAGGCAACCAAGAGCTGAGCTTCAGTCATGTAAATACGACTATTTTGTTTACAAAGTTAAAATATCACAAGAGAGGAATTTATATCTGACCCCAAGCAGAGTTGATGAACATGTCTGTTTGTCTGTAACATGCATGTATTTTCTCATTATGGGGGACATGTATGTGTTATACCTGTTACACCATATTTGGGTGTGAAGATACACTGTTATATAAACAGGACTAATATTTTCAAGAGCACAGAAATAGTCCACACACAGGGAAAGAAAATCAGAATCTACTCACCTGTGCCATGCAGTTATTTCTGACATACCAATGCTCATACAATGAAGTAATTTGACTGATATCCAGCTTTTATGCAGCACACAGAGTGGCTAAGACAAGTCTTTGACTTACCAGCTCTCTTAGTTTATATTACTCTTCCTTGTTGCTGTAAATGTAACTGAATATGTTTCTAATACTATTCTCTGCTGAGGTGAGGACTAATAGACCAATCACGGCGTTCAGTAGCAGAGAAACTCTGATTTGAAATCAACACTTTGGTCTCTCTCTGGAGACTCTACATAGTCACTTGGATACACACTAATCATTCCCTTGAATAGCATAACTCATACTGAAAGCAAAATAATCAGCAGTATTAGGAAAATCTGATCAGCTTGTCTCCTAACATATTACTAATCAGAATGTGACCCTCATGTGATGGAAAACCCAGCACAGCAGAGGTAAGGAGGTGAGGAAAGCTTTCTTCAGCAAATGCAAGAGAATCCTTGGAAACTGGGGCAATATTATGATTTTTTCCACTTGAGAAATTCTTCCAAGTTTACTTACTTTGAGACTAAAATGCTGCATATTTTCTGCTGGTGAATAAATGGGCTGCATTTCACCCAGTGCATTTTTACAGCAGTGGCTGAGTTCTCAGAATGCACTTTCCAGGCTCACAGACCCCACCACGGGCATTTGCCAGGCAGATTTAACCTCCCCGAGGCTGTGGTTCACTGTATTACGTAATTCCAAGCCAGACAGTTTTACTCACTCTTCTGGCCTGAATGTTTCCTCTCACAGCTTTTATTTGCTCGTATTTACTCCTCAGGTTGCTGTCAATGGAAGGTTTTTACAACCTTCTCTCTGCGGACTGGCATCTCTCCGACTGGGGAAGAAATGCATTTCTAAAGCTGACCTGGAGCTGCTGCTCTGGAGAAAGAATACAAGCACAGGTCTTGGGCTTTTTAACTCCAAACCAGGTTTTTCCAGCTGTGCAACAGCATCAGTTTTACCTGACACTGCACACTGGCTGACAGGTGGGTAAAATAAACAAGTGATGGATATTCCAAAGGAAGAGTGATTCCTGAGGAGGTCACAGCAGTGGGAGAGACAGAAAAGGAAGCCAACCTCACAAAATGATAACCCACAAAAGCACATCAGAACAGTCCATTTCTGAACCTGTTTGCCAGAATCTTGTTTTGCAACAAAGCTGACAAAGTTGAGGCATAGTTAAAAAAGCTGGATGGAAACAAACAAGCAAAAATCCCTCCCTGCAAACCAACAGATTTTTATCAGCCCATAACCTGCCTAACAGAAATTCTCACAATGTTTATTAATATGGCTGTCAACACAGAATAATTTATCTGCCTTATAAATATCTGTCAATAAACAGAACCCACAATAAACAATGGCAATAAACAGTAAAGGATAAACAGATTGCTTGTTTGATAAAACATAGGAGAGACAATGAGCTTATCTCCTGGAGGACTGTTAACAACCTGGACAATAAATAACAAAGATACAGCAAATAATCCAAATTTAATCATTCTGTGTGACTTCACTTTTAGGGAAAAATTCCATCCTCTTGCCAAGAGAAATTTACACATTGTGCCAAGCAGATTTATTTCTCACATAAAACAGACCTCATGGGGTCAAGGTCTCCTACAGTCTGAGAAGTGCAGTATGTCTGCTTTAAGACTGCAGATTACACTTACCAAGTTTATTTCTAGGAAATGAATTTTCAAGAAGGACAAAAGCTGAATTTTTAACAAAGAACCAAATTTAGAGTGTCATGTTTAAATAAACATAGAAATATTGTCATTTATGATTTTAATTACATTGATGAGTCATTCTGAGAGACAAAAATGCATATTTACAAGGTTAACGGAACATGAAGAATAACTCTGGATTAAAGTAGACAATAGCCAAGGGAACCTTCAATGTTCATATTGTAAATGTTGCTGGGAAATACTCACTATTTTGATATACCGAATTTTGCAGATTCTTTCTCGTGGTCTGTAGACTGTATATACACAGATCTTGAATGAAAACTATGCGGAATAGCTGCTAAGTGACAAGAAAAAATTCCTCTGAAGACCTAAAAAAACACACTTAGAGGAGATAAATTTCCACTACAACACACGATAACCTGAGAAAACACAGTTCTATCTTCCTGCTACTTTCATTTTGTCCAGTTTTAGTAACAGTTACCTCTGATGCTTTGATGTCCTCATAGGAAAACTGTGTGGCAGGTACTCCGAGGTGGTTGATGAAATAATCTGCATCTCCCTGAATCTGCACAGAACTCACATTGTATCCTGGACATCTTGCCTTTTCCACACAGTTGAAGCTCTGGCTCTGAAAAAAACAAACACAAATCAAATCTCTACTTAATTATTTGCAGTCAGGCTCTTGAAGACTTGTAGCAATACCTCATTTAAACAGCATTCTTTGGGTTGAAGCAACTTTAACATGGCAGAGAGTGAAGTTTTGCTGCAACATGGCCAAGTCTTTCAGAGGACAAAGAAATTCTTATCTGAGGTGGCAGGAAGAAGAATGAAGGCACATGGAATGCCTCATGCTGGCCAGCAGATTAGAAGGCCTCATGGTGGTGCCTTTTGGAAGATTTTGAGATCTTTAATGGCTCCTAAGGAATCATTTTTTATTCAGTTGATAGCATGCTCTGCCACAACAAAAAGCTGAATGGGATTATCATATTCAATCTAAGATATGTCTGTGAAATGCTGGCAATGTAAAGAATTTCCAACAAAGTATGGCTTAGGAGAAAAAAAAAATTAAAATACTAAAGATACTCAGTACACATTTTATGTGTAAATAATACATATTTTCTGTGTAGGTTTCTTAAAACAATTCTAGTCAGGGAAATCTTTGTATTTCCTTCACGTACCTATTTAACGGTGAAATCTTAGCAACAGAGCTGTAATAAATATGGAAACTGGAAATCAAGCCCAGACGGAGTGTCACATACTTGTGTAGCTTTTAAATCTACCAGGTAATTAAACACTTAATAAACAGTAGGCATAAAGGCTTTCAACATCTATTACAGCAAATAAGCTACTCAGGTTTCTTTTCAAGAATATTAGGAAGTTGAAGTACTGGAGATTATTTGCATTTAGCTAACAGTTTATATAGTATAACATAACTTCCTCACCTCTACCAACAAAATTACAGGCTTTCTAGAAGAATAGCCTAAAATTGGTTCTACTTTAACACAAAAATACAGCAAATTTTGTATATTAAAGTCTCCAAGGTTATCAGGAAAATGTTAGACAGAGACAAATCTTGGTATTTCCCTATTTCAAAATTAGCATAATTATTACTTCACAGTTTCATTTTGGTGCTGTGAATAATGCAATTGCATATTACACAGTTTAAATAAAGGCTGCAGAGTCTCACAGAAAATTATTTTAAAATACCTTCAAGAAATAGCTTCCATTTCATAAGTAATTTTGAGAGGTGGTTGTATTACTCCTTTTTTTTAATCTGTTAAGCATTTCTGCTCCTGCCATTCTTACATACAGCCACAGTTGTTCAAGGCCTGTCCAAAACGGTAAAAACCCACACAACAAATTCATTGGAAAAGGTGTTTTAATAATCACAACTGTATCTCCTACAGTCTCTCCCACTCAAACCCACTGCACAGCACACACCCAGGCAAAAAACCATGGTTATGATATGATTTTGTGCATAGATCTGTGTACAAGATCCACTGCTCCTTCCAGGAATTACAAGGCATTTAAGGATCACCCAGTGTTCTACACGGCAGCATAGATCAGATATCCTCACTTCACACTGCCCACCACAGCTGGTCAAGTTTCATAAGTGATGAGTAGCCTGTTCTGTTCTTCCTTTAATGTTTAAAGGCTCACTGAATGACGTGAAATTGTGAAATACAGCTTTTGACACTTAATTCTGAATATCCACCAACCCCCATTTCTACTAGCCTACCAGGAGCTGAAGAGATGCCTTCCTACAGCAACCATGAAATTTAGTTTTTCTTATGCATGAAAGTTTATATATGAAATGTTTACAGCTTTGATTAAGGGGACCATAAAATATGGTGGTTTGGGGGTTTTTATCACCATCCTTGACAGTATAGGATTAATATTTTTATGACAGGAATGTTCAATTCAATAGTACAGCATTTTAAGAGTTTAACTGCTTTATTCCACTTGCACTGTTCTCACACACAAGCCCAACAATAAATATTTAACCCAGCACCAATACAGGAGAATGCTTTACATGCAAGATGCTGTGCTCTTCCAATCTGTTTTTATTGTAAGGCAGACTCTACAACACCAGCATTGGCAACAACTGCCAAGTTCATATAGTGTGTTTTGCATTCATTAAGCAAATGAAATGTTTCCCCAGACTAAAACAATATTAATGCTCTAATATTAATAAAACTAACAAAAATAATAAAAAAAATCTTTTAAAATGTAACTAGAATAAACTATTAACAACACACAACTAACTGCCATTTGAAGAGCAGCCAAACTGTATTTCTTCAGCTGGTTAGCTTTATAGGAAAAAGACAAACTGGCTGTATTTAGAGCACTCAGCTGCTCAGGCTGGGCTCCACCATGTCAGTCAAACCCTTCCTTCAGACCAGAGCCAAACCAAGCCCCTGGTGAGCCAGGAATCAAGGAGTGCTTGGTGTCAGTGCAAGGATTCACATGCACTGACATGCACTGATTTTATTTCTCTGGAGCTCATTTTGGGTGTCAGCACCATCTTACAGGTTTACATCACAAATTTGAGAAAATGAAGAGTACCATATGGCAAATCAAATGCATTTAATTTGAGTTAGTGTCCTAAAACAAATCTGACACATCTGAAGTGTAATCAAGTGGGACTTCGTTGCAGAACTCATTAGTTAGTTCTGGTTACTACTTTTCTTTACTTGACTCCAGCTTCAGATAAAACATTACCACCTTTTGAAAATGGATTAAAACATCTATGGAGCTTTCAATAAGGCCAGTAAAGAATGAACAGTTATTCTTACGGTATGTCAGTGCTCCCAGCTTCAGAGCTTCAACAAGGAGGCTTATTCTTCATGAATAATTGATCTCTATTTCTGAGCTGAATCAGTACCTGCGTCAGGGACTGGTGCAATTAAGGACCTGAGGTATGAGAGACCATCTAGAGCAAGTAAGATTGTCCAAAGGAAGAACCAAAGAATTTATTTAATTCATCACAGACCTTGTAAAAATGCAGAAATCAAGAGATTAACATATTTATAACTATAAATATGTAAATCAACACCAATAGGCAATAAAGGCCAGAGAAAGGGCTCTCAGGTCTGTGTCTCTCATCTATACACACCTGCCACACTATGGCAAACACATCATTAGAGGCAGAAGGTTTGATGGTTCTTAAAAAAATATTAATAGATGGCTGCCAAAGGCTATTAAAAAAAACCATGGAGCTTCTAGGAATTGCATCAATTCTATGGCAAACACACTTCTCTGTTTTCTCCCAGCTGACTATCAGGTTTAGCTATAAACATCCTGTTCTGCTCTGTCTTTATTGATTGATTATACATATTGCTATTGATGCAAATCAGCTCTTTCAGAAATTATTAGGGAGATTTAAAAGGGCATTTTGCCCTACAGACCTCAAAGTGCTTTTCAAACCAACTAAAGGCAAGCAAGGTATCCAACATTTCTGTATTGCTCAATAGCATAGAGCAAAACAACTACATAATAATTAAATGCACAGCATTTCCCCAATTTTGAGCCTTATCAAACTGACATGATTCAAGTATGTGCATAAAAATAATTCTAAATTATATTCATTCATTCATTCTTTCCCTGTTTAGGAAAAGAAAAGCTAAATGTGGTGGTGATAATTAATATGCTATAGATGGAAAGTAGTTGTGGTTTAAATAGCCAGAATGTTACACACCACTGATGTGATGTATTTGCCTATTTATACAATGTGATCATTTGATTACCTGATTAAAGCTACACCATGAAATCTTATGAGGTAGAGTGACTAAACCTTGCTGCATTTAATTAATGTTACATTAAGATTGAAGTGATTAATTAAAAATGAATAAAATGTTGGTTCCTTACTTCCTTAGCAATTTTTCCTTCCCACTTACACATATTTTCATTTAAACATGTATGAAGCCTTACTGAAAATATCTAAAATCTTGACATTATTTAATTACCTTTAAGGGTAACATGAAGACTGGCTAAATTCTGTAGCACTGCAAAATCACAGAAAAGAGAAATTTAAATCTCAGAAATTGCCCCTGGTTTAGATTCTTCAGAACTACCACAGTGAAGTGAGAGATGTTCCCTGCACACACACACACACATATTCCATTGGGAGGAACTTGTCACCAGGGAGAAACAACTCCCTCAAGAGTTGTGTTTACTGAAAGTCATCAGGGACAAGGAATTCAGCATCATCTGAATCCCTCTGATACTCGTGGACACTGCAGGTGATTCTCAAACAAATCACTACAACCCCAGGGATCCCCATTAGACAATCTAAATTCCCCCACCACCAAATTACTCTGTGTTTTCATACACAAAAGCACAACAACTGGAAATTCCAAGAGTAAACAGTTTTTTTAGGCTGTGCAGGAAGGTAGAACTGCATTTTCACAAGACAAAACCTGCCTTTTAGACAAACATCATGGCTTTAAAAGAACTGCTCTTTCAAAAAGCCTGCAGGTATTCTGCATGACAGAGAAGGCTTTTTCACCCAGAGGGGAAGAAGAAACTGAAAATGGTGGCAAACACAATACTTTCAAAAGGTCAGGTCCAACCAAGATTAGCCAAGACCCAGTTCTGACGTTGTATTCAGATTTCTACTGAACCAAGGAAAAGTCAGTTTACCTACAAAACATAACCTGCTGAAAATAAAACTCCAGTTGTACCTTTCAAAATTGTGTGAATGTGAAGCAATTTTTGCATTTCAATGGTGACTTCCTAAAAAAGTGGGAAATTACAATACCAGTGGTTATAAATAATGCATGGAGAAATATCTGTGCTTGGAACAGAAAATTTAAATATATTGCTGTATGTTATACTACTTTGCAAAATGGAGTTATTTTTTATTTAGCTTACAGCTAGAAAAACATGAGACAAACTTAATCCTGTAATTCTTGTTCAAGGCTTTGGTTTCTGTTAAGAAGTATTTGCATACTTTTAAATATTTGTCTTATTTTTTAAAAAAAACCCATAATTATCAGAGTAAAGTCTTTAAAATAAATGGTACCTCACAGGACTAAATCACATTTTAGATGCAAAAGTTACATTAAACTGGTAGGAAATACAAAAGCAAGGTAGTAAAAAATTATATAGTGTAAATTTAATTTTCTA